GAGCGGGGATCTCTGGGAAGGCGCGCAGACAAGGCGCGCTGACCCATAATGCATTCATTCATGACATGTGATCGCATTAGCCAATCAGCAGCCAGCCAGCCAGCACTGTGTAATGGTGGAGCTATAAATCGCGGCCATCTTAGAATTCTCCATTAGCCTCCGGTCATTCAAGAGAGACAGACCTGTCTGTATTAGGGACAGAGTTAGGGCCACAGAGACTTTAGGGCCACAGAATTGTTACTCAGGGACACAGAATTGTTACTCAGGGACACAGAATTGTTACTCAGGGACACAGAATTGTTACTCAGGGACACAGAATTGTTACTCAGGGACACAGAATCGTTACTCAGGGACACAGAATTGTTACTCAGGGACACAGAATTGTTACTCAGGGACACAGAATCGTTACTGAGGGGACACAGAATCGTTACTCAGGGACACAGAATTGTTACTCAGGGACACAGAATTGTTACTCAGGGACACAGAATTGTTACTGAGGGACACAGAATCGTTACTCAGGGGACACAGAATCGTTACTCAGGGACACAGAATTGTTACTCAGGGACACAGAATCGTTACTCAGGGACACAGAATCATTACTCAGGGACACAGAATTGTTACTCAGGGACACAGAATTGTTACTGAGGGACACAGAATTGTTACTCAGGGACACAGAATTGTTACTCAGGGACACAGAATCGTTACTCAGGGACACAGAATTGTTACTCAGGGACACAGAATCGTTACTCAGGGACACAGAATCGTTACTCAGGGACACAGAATTGTTACTCAGGGACACAGAATCGTTACTCAGGGACACAGAATTGTTACTCAGGGACACAGAATTGTTACTCAGGGACACAGAATCGTTACTCAGGGGACACAGAATCGTTACTCAGGGGACACAGAATCGTTACTGAGGGACACAGAATTGTTACTCAGGGACACAGAATTGTTACTCAGGGACACAGAATCGTTACTCAGGGACACAGAATCGTTACTCAGGGACACAGAATCGTTACTCAGGGACACAGAATCGTTACTGAGGGACACAGAATCGTTACTCAGGGACACAGAATTGTTACTCAGGGACACAGAATCGTTACTCAGGGACACAGAATTGTTACTCAGGGACACAGAATTCGTTACTGAGGGACACAGAATCGTTACTCAGGGACACAGAATTGTTACTCAGGGACACAGAATTGTTACTCAGGGACACACAGAATTGTTACTCAGGGACACAGAATCGTTACTCAGGGACACAGAATCGTTACTCAGGGACACAGAATTGTTACTCAGGGACACAGAATTGTTACTCAGGGACAGACACAGAATTGTTACTCAGGGACACAGAATTGTTACTCAGGGACACAGAATCGTTACTCAGGGACACAGAATTGTTACTCAGGGACACAGAATCGTTACTACTCAGGGACACAGAATCGTTACTCAGGGACACAGAATTGTTACTCAGGGACACAGAATCGTTACTCAGGGACACAGAATTGTTACTCAGGGACACAGAATCGTTACTGAGGGACACAGAATCGTTACTCAGGGACACAGAATCGTTACTCAGGGACACAGAATTGTTACTCAGGGACACAGAATCGTTACTCAGGGACACAGAATCGTTACTCAGGGACACAGAATTCGTTACTCAGGGGCACAGAATCGTTACTCAGGGACACAGAATCGTTACTGAGGGACACAGAATCGTTACTCAGGGACACAGAATTGTTACTGAGGGACACAGAATCGTTACTCAGGGACACAGAATCGTTACTCAGGGACACAGAATCGTTACTCAGGGACACAGAATCGTTACTGAGGGACACAGAATCGTTACTCAGGGACACAGAATCGTTACTCAGGGACACAGAATCGTTACTGAGGGACACAGAATCGTTACTCAGGGACACACTCATGGACACAGAATCGTTACTGAGGACACAGAATCGTTACTCAGGGACACAGAATTGTTACTCAGGGACACAGAATTGTTACTCAGGGACAGACACAGAATTGTTACTCAGGGACACAGAATCGTTACTCAGGGACACAGAATCGTTACTCAGGGACACAGAATTGTTACTCAGGGACACAGAATCGTTACTCAGGGGACACAGAATTGTTACTCAGGGACACAGAATCGTTACTCAGGGACAGACACAGAATTGTTACTCAGGGACACAGAATCGTTACTCAGGGACACAGAATTGTTACTCAGGGACACAGAATCGTTACTCAGGGACACAGAATCGTTACTCAGGGACACAGAGTCGTTACTGAGGGACACAGAATCGTTACTCGGGGACACAGAATCGTTACTCGGGGACACAGAATCGTTACTCGGGGACACATAAATTGTTACTCAGGGACACAGAATCGTTACTCGGGGACACAGAATTGTTACTCAGGGACACAGAATCGTTACTTTCTGCTTCACAACCACTATTGAATTAAAGAGTATGTCAGACAACACGCAGAGGAGTGGCAGAGGAGGCAATGTTTTTCAGGAGCGAGCAGACATGGCAGCAGAGGAAGGGGTCGAGGCAGCACTAGTCGCAGCCAGAGGCCAGTGCTCCCGGTGTCATCCAGCGGTCGTGTCTCCACCGACAACCCTGCCGTCATCGATTGGTTGACTCGGTCGTCTTCCTCTTCCCAGGTCACCTCTGACACCTACAGCCAACGGTCGGTGGGTACGTCAGACACAACCGTTAGTTGGCATGGCCCCGGGAGCAAGCCCACTGAAATCACGTGGTTCAGCGGGTTTTGCATCACTTAACGGCAAATCGTTGACAAACGCTGGGACGTTCAGTGTTGTGCGCATTAAGCCAGACACCAAAGGGCAGCACAGACCTGTTATTACTCGCTCAAGCATGGCTGAACAACACCAGTCTCTACCACAAATTGGACCCAGACCTGCCCAGGGTCTCGTAAGAGTAGATTGCACGGAGGAGTAGAGTTCGTTATTGGAATTAACTGTGAGGGACTTTTAAACCTAGGCCTGTGTATGGCCTTCAATTGAAGCTGCTTCTGCTCCGCCACTCTGCCATTGGACTCTTGATAGTCGACGACCCGCTGAACCACGTTCATGAGGAGCCGGTACAGGGGGGCCATGAATCAGTATGGACCTGGCAGCAGCGTGAGCAGACGACAGAGGCACATGGCGCAGGGTGGCAGTGTAGGCAGCATTATTCTGAAGCCAAACACAGGCCTAGGTTAAAAAGCGGAAGCCGTCAGCAGCGTGAGCAGACAACAGAGACACATGGCGCAGGGTGGCGGTGGATGCAGCAGTATTCGGAAGCCAAACACAGGCCTCGGTTAAAAAAGCGGAAGCCGTCAGCAGCGTGAGCAGACGACAGAGGCACATGGCGCAGGGTGGCGGTGGAGGCAGCAGCAATGGAAGGCCATACAGCACCCTATCACAAAATGGAACCCACCAACAGTGTAAGGAGACCTGAAAGTGGCACATGGCAGAGTCTGGCGATGAAGTCAGCAGCAATGGGAGGCCGTACAGGGACCCATGACACACTCTGGACCTGGCAGCAGCAAGAGGAGGCGGTACAGGGGCCCATGGCAGAGTGGCGAAGCGTAAGCAGCTTAAATTGAAGGCCATACAGAGGCCTATGTTAAAATGTCCCCCCAGCAGCAGCGTGGGGAGACGACTATTAGTCGTCTCCCCCACGCTGCTGCTGGGGGGACTTTTTAACATAGGCCTCTGTATGGCCTTCAATTTTTAGCTGCTTACGCTCCGCCACTCTGCCATGGGCCCCTGTACCGCCTCCTCATGCTGCTGCCAGGCCCGTAATCTGCCATGGGCCCCCGTACCGACTCCTCATGCTGCTGCCAGGCCCCGTAATCTGTCATGGGCCCCTGTACCGCCTCCTCATGCTGCTGCCAGGTCCAGAGTGTGTCATGGGTCCCTGTACGGCCTCCCATTGCTGCTGTCTCCATCGCCACACTCTGCCATGTGCCACTTTCAGGTCTCCTCACACTGCTGGTGGGTTCATTTTGTCATAGGGTGCTGTATGGCCTCCCATTGCTGCTGCCTCCACCGCCACCCTGCGCCATGTGCCTGTCGTCTGCTCACGCTGCTGACGGCTTCCGCTTTTTAACCGAGGCCTGTGTTTGGCTTCCGAATACTGCTGCATCCACCGCCACCCTGCGCCATGTGCCTCTGTCGTCTGCTCACGCTGCTGATGGCTTCCGCTTTTTAACCTAGTCCTGTGTATGTCTTCCGAATACTGCTGCCTCCACCGCCACCCTGCGCCATGTGCCACTTTCAGGTCTCCTTACACCAGCGGTTCTCAACCTGGGGGTCGCGACCCCTTTGGGGGTCGAACGACCATTTCCACAGGGGTCGCCTAAGACCATCGGAAAAAAACACATATTTCCGATGGTCTTAGGAACCGAGACACCGCTGCTGTCTCCGGCGATGTGTGGGCGGGATGATATGCTGCCCCTGTCACCGCCTCCTCGCCGCTGATTGGCCACCGGAACTGTAGCTCAGGAGAGGCACACAGGCGGCCAATCACCGCGCGAGAAGGTGGAGCTTGGAGAGGAGGAGCCGAGCGGCAGCGCGCGGAGATCGAAGAAGATCGAGGGAGCTGCAGGAACGCGCGAGTGAAGAGAGAGGCCAGAGAAGGAAGACAGCTGACAGGTAAGTGCAAATTTTGCTGCTGCAGCCAGGTATGCAGGCTGTAGATGGGAGAGGGAGAGAGCGAACCCAGGCTGGAGCAGGGGTCAGCAAGGTAAGTATCATTGGTGTCAGTGGGAAGGGATAGTGCCCCATCATTTGTGTCACTAATACCAACGATGGGGCACTATTCCTCCCCCCACTGACACCAACGATGGGGCACTATTCCTCCCCTCACTGACACCAACGATGGGGCACTATTCCTCCCCCCACTGACACCAACGATGGGGCACTATTCCTCCCCCCACTGACTGACACCAACGATGAGACAGTATTCCTCCCCTCACTGACACCAACGATGGGGCACTATTCCTCCCCCCACTGACACCAACGATGGGGCACTATTCCTCCCCCCACTGACACCAACGATGGGGCACTATTTCCTCCCCCCACTGACACCAACGATGGGGCACTATTCCTCCCCCCACTGACACCAACGATGGGGCACTATTCCTCCCCCCACTGACACCAACGATGGGGCACTATTCCTCCCCCCACTGACACCAACGATGGGGCACTATTCCTCCCCCCACTGACACCAACGATGGGGCACTATTCCTCCCCCCTGACACCAACGATGGGGCACTATTCCTCCCCCCACTGACACCAACGATGGGGCACTATTCCTCCCCACTAACGCCAATGATGGGGCACTATTCCTCCCACTGATGACACCAATGATGGGGCACTATTCCTCCCACTGATACCAATGATGGGGGCACTATTCCTCCCACTGACACCAATGATGGGGCACTATTCCTCCCACTCATACCAATGATGGGGCACTAATTCCTCCCACTCACACCAATGATGGGGGGCACTATTCCTCCCACTCATACCAATGATGGGGCACTATTCCTTCCCACTGACCCAATGATGGGGCACTATTCCTCCCACTCATACCAATGATGGGGCACTATTCCTTCCACTGACACCAATGATGGGGCACTATTCCTCCCACTGATACTAATGATGGGGCACTATTCCTCCCACTGCTGACACCGCCAATGATGGGGGCACTATTCCTCCCACTGACACCAATGATGGGGCACTATTCCTCCCACTGACACCAATGATGGGGCACTATTCCTCCCACTCATACCAATGATGGGGCACTATTCCTCCCACTGATACCAATGATGGGGCACTATTCCTCCCACTCATACCAATGATGGGGCACTATTCCTTCCACTGACACCAATGATGGGGCACTATTCCTCCCACTGATACTAATGATGGGGCACTATTCCTCCCACTGACACCAATGATGGGGCACTATTCCTCCCACTGATACCAATGATGAGGTACTATTCCTCCCACTCATACCAATGATGGGGCACTATTCCTCCCTACTGATACCAATGATGGGGCACTATTTCCCCCCACTGATACCAATGATGGGGCACTATTCCCCCACTGACACCAATGATGGGACACTATTCCTCCCTACTGACACCAATGATGGGACACTATTCCTCCCACTGACACCAATGATGGGACACTATTCCTCCCACTGACGCCAATGATGGGGCACTATTCCTCCCACTGACGCCAATGATGAGGCACTATTCCTTCCCACTGACGCCTATGATTGGGCACTATTCCTCCCACTGACGCCAATGATTGGGCACTATTCCTCCCACTGACACACAATGATGGAGAACTATTCCTCCCACTGACACCAATGATGGGGGCACTATTCCTCCCACTGACACCAATGATGGGGCACTATTCCTCCCCACTGACACCAATGATGGGACACTATTCCTCCCACTGACACCAATGATGGGGCACTATTCCTCCCACTGATACCAACGATGGACACTATTCATCCCACTGACATCAGTGATGGGCCGCTAGTCCTCCCACTGCAAAATTACAGTTATGAAGTAGTAACGAAAATAATTTTATGGTTGGGGGGCCACCACAACATGAGGAACTGTATTAAGGGGTCGCGGCATTAGAAAGGTTGAGAACCACTGCCTTACACTGTTGGTGGGTTCCATTTTGTGATAGGGTGCTGTATGGCCTTCCATTGCTGCTGCCTCCACCGCCACCCTGCGCCATGTGTCTCTGTCGTCTGCTCACGCTGCTGACGGCTTCCGCGCTTTTTAACCTAGGCCTGTGTATGGCTTCCGAATACTGCTGCCTCCACCGCCACCACCCTGCGCCATGTGCCTCTGTCATCTGCTCACGCTGCTGACTGCTTCTTCCGCTTTTTAACCTAGGCCTGTGTATGGCTTCCGAATACTGCTGCTTCCTGCCACCCCCCCCCCATGTGTGATGGGGAGGGTGCCCTTGCCGCATCGCGGTCCGCCGCACCCTGCGCCATGTGCCTCTGTCGTCTGCTCACGCTGCTGACGGCTTCCGCTTTTTAAACTAGTCCTGTGTATGTCTTCCGAATACTGCTGCCTCCACCGCCACCCTGCGCCATGTGCCACTTTCAGGTCTCCTTACACTGTTGGTGGGTTCCATTTTGTGATAGGGTGCTGTATGGCCTTCCATTGCTGCTGCCTCCACCGCCACCCTGCGCCATGTGCCTCTGTTGTCTGCTCACGCTGCTGACGGCTTCCGCTTTTTAACCGAGGCCTGAGTTTGGCTTCCGAATACTGCTGCATCCCACCGCCACCCTGCGCCATGTGTCTCTGTCGTCTGCTCACGCTGCTGACGGCTTCCGCTTTTTAACCTAGGCCTGTGTATGGCTTCCGAATACTGCTGCCTCCACCGCCACCCTGCACCATGTGCCTCTGTCGTCTGCTCACGCTGCTGACGGCTTCGGCTTTTTAACCGAGGCCTGTGTTTGACTTCCGAATACTGCTGCATCCACCGCCCGCCCGCCCACTGCTGCTGCCAGGCCCGTAATCTGTCATGGCCCCCTGTACCCCGCCTCCTCATGCTGCTGCCAGGTCCAGAGTGTGTCATGGGTCCCTGTACGGCCTCCCATTGCTGCTGTCTCCATCGCCACACTCTGCCATGTGCCACTTTCAGTCTCCTCACACTGCTGGTGGGTTCCATTTTGTCATAGGGTGCTGTATGGCCTCCCATTGCTGCTGCCCATCCACCGCCACCCTGCGCCATGTGCCTGTCGTCTGCTCACGCTGCTGACGGCTTCCGCTTTTTAACCGAGGCCTGTGTTTGGCTTCCGAATACTGCTGCATCCACCGCCACCCTGCGCCATGTGCCTCTGTCGTCTGCTCACGCTGCTGACGGCTTCCGCTCAGCGCTTTTTAACCTAGTCCTGTGTATGTCTTCCGAATACTGCTGCCTCCACCGCCACCCTGCGCCATGTGCCACTTTCAGGTCTCCTTACACTGTTGGTGGGTTCCATTTTGTGATAGGGTGCTGTATGGCCTTCCATTGCTGCTGCCTCCACCGCCACCCTGCGCCATGTGCCTCTGTCGTCTGCTCACGATGCTGACGGCTTCCGCTTTTTAACCGAGGCCTGTGTTTGGCTTCCGAATACTGCTGCATCTACCGCCACCCTGCGCCATGTGCCTCTGTCGTCTGCTCACGCTGCTGACGGCTTCCGCTTTTTAACCTAGTCCTGTGTATGTCTTCCGAATACTGCTGCCTCCACCGCCACCCTGCGCCATGTGCCACTTTCAGGTCTCCTTACACTGTTGGTGGGTTCCATTTTGTGATAGGGTGCTGTATGGCCTTCCATTGCTGCTGCCTCCACCGCCACCCTGCGCCATGTGCCTCTGTCGTCTGCTCACGATGCTGACGGCTTCCGCTTTTTAACCGAGGCCTGTGTTTGGCTTCCGAATACTGCTGCATCTACCGCCACCCTGCGCCATGTGTCTCTGTCGTCTGCTCACGCTGCTGACGGCTTCCGCTTTTTAACCTAGGCCTGTGTATGGCTTCCGAATACTGCTGCCTCCACCGCCACCCTGCGCCATGTGCCTCTGTCGTCTGCTCACGCTGCTGACGGCTTCCGCTTTTTAAACTAGTCCTGTGTATGTCTTCCGAATACTGCTGCCTCCACCGCCACCCTGCGCCATGTGCCACTTTCAGGTCTCCTTACACTGTTGGTGGGTTCCATTTTGTGATAGGGTGCTGTATGGCCTTCCATTGCTGCTGCCTCCACCGCCACCCTGTGCCATGTGCCTCTGTTGTCTGCTCACGCTGCTGACGGCTTCCGCTTTTTAACCGAGGCCTGTGTTTGGCTTCCGAATACTGCTGCATTCACCGCCACCCTGCGCCATGTGTCTCTGTCGTCTGCTCACGCTGCTGACGGCTTCCGCTTTTTAACCTAGGCCTGTGTATGGCTTCCGAATACTGCTGCCTCCACCGCCACCCTTCGCCATGTGCCTCTGTCGTCTGCTCATGCTGCTGACGGCTTCCGCTTTTTAACCGAGGCCTGTGTTTGGCTTCCGAATACTGCTGCATCCACCGCCCATGCCCCACTGCTGCTGCCAGGCCCGTAATCTGTCATGGGCCCCTGTACCGCCTCCTCATGCTGCTGCCAGGTCCAGAGTGTGTCATGGGTCCCTGTACGGCCTCCCATTGCTGCTGTCTTCATCGCCACACTCTGCCATGTGCCACTTTCAGGTCTCCTCACACTGCTGGTGGGTTCCATTTTGTCATAGGGTGCTGTATGGCCTCCCATTGCTGCTGCCTCCACCGCCACCCTGCGCCATGTGCCTGTCGTCTGCTCACGCTGCTGACGGCTTCCGCTTTTTAACCGAGGCCTGTGTTTGGCTTCCGAATACTGCTGCATCCACCGCCACCCTGCGCCATGTGCCTCTGTCGTCTGCTCACGCTGCTGACGGCTTCCGCTTTTTAACCTAGTCCTGTGTATGTCTTCCGAATACTGCTGCCTCCACCGCCACCCTGCGCCATGTGCCACTTTCAGGTCTCCTTACACTGTTGGTGGGTTCCATTTTGTGATAGGGTGCTGTATGGCCTTCCATTGCTGCTGCCTCCACCGCCACCCTGCGCCATGTGCCTCTGTCGTCTGCTCACGATGCTGACGGCTTCCGCTTTTTAACCGAGGCCTGTGTTTGGCTTCCGAATACTGCTGCATCTACCGCCACCCTGCGCCATGTGTCTCTGTCGTCTGCTCACGCTGCTGACGCTGCTGACGGCTTCCGCTTTTTAACCTAGGCCTGTGTATGGCTTCCGAATACTGCTGCCTCCACCGCCACCCTGCGCCATGTGCCTCTGTCGTCTGCTCACGCTGCTGACGGCTTCCGCTTTTAAACTAGTCCTGTGTATGTCTTCCGAATACTGCTGCCTCCACCGCCACCCTGCGCCATGTGCCACTTTCAGGTCTCCTTACACTGTTGGTGGGTTCCATTTTGTGATAGGGTGCTGTATGGCCTTCCATTGCTGCTGCCTCCACCGCCACCCTGCGCCATGTGCCTCTGTCGTCTGCTCACGCTGCTGACGGCTTCCGCTTTTTTAACCGAGGCCTGTGTTTGGCTTCCGAATACTGCTGCATCCAC